AGCTGGCCAATCAGAGCAGACTGCGCTTGTCGGAAGGAGGGACTTTGTAGAAAATGAAGCGTTTGAGAGAGGCGGGGCATAGAGGACCTACAATAATGTACAGTATTTGAAAAATAATGTGTTTATTTAACATTAAAGCATGTCAACATATTCTGTTACACCAAATACACAAAATAATGATCTTTAAAAAAGCATCATATGACCCCTTTAAATCGAATTGAGTAATGCTGAATTCCTATCATTTGGTTTGGCAAATAAATCTCATAATATACACAAGCTTCTCTGTGCATCTTCTAGGAAAATACCAATTCTCTGTGCATCTTCTAGGAAAATCCCAATCCTAATAGCATTCCTTCAGCAAGCAGGTTGATCAAATACACTCTAAAACCCTGTGAGGAGATGCTGAATGACCTCAGCAGGAAGGATTGCTGCGGTTAACTGAACTTACGAGACTTTGCGAGTGTAGGATGATGATGATGTCCCTTTCTGAACTCATTCAGAAACATGAAACAACATGGAAAGCATGACCCGACATGGACGAAGTATTACAGCAGAGAGCTTCAAAGAGTTTACCATCCATACAGAGCCGGGGAATGAGAAGCCCCTGTCGATTTCTATCAACTGCTTGATAAATCCACTAATTGAAAAACAAAACAACTATAGATTAAAGGAAAAAGTGGCATTTATAAATGATATAAGTGTCTCTACTTAAACCAATACAACATTTCTGTGCTCTAGTTAGTAAAAGCCACATGCAATCAGAATTGTAAGACAAAAACGTGACAATTTGCTGTTCTGTTGTAAGTGATCTTAAAGATTCCTAAATGCATCTACTTTCGGAAGGCCAAATAAAGTGCTTTTGCTTTCGCACTGAAACACACAGCGTCTCCCTGACATGCTGCTTCAACACTAACTGCGGTTACTGAAACCACGCCTTCTTTCTTTGCGTGCACATTTGGGCACATTATGCAAATATTTCCACATAGTGAGGTAGATATGTGGGGGCGTGGCAGAGTCTTAACTTTGATAAAGAATATCTCTTTGGTTTTGAGACTTTAGTCTTTGCAACTTCAGGGATCTTATCTATTCACAAACAGCTTGTAACACTCCAAAGAGAAAGGAAAACTTGAAATCGCATCATATGACCCCTTTAAAATTGAGAAAAACACAACATTCAAAACCAATGTCAGAAGCAGAAAAGCGTTAACACTGCCCCCTATTGGTTGAGTTGTTCACTGCACACACAGTTCATGTCCTGTGAAAGAATATAGGCTACAGTAGCCTACAGTCCTCTTTCTTACATCGAAAAAAATTGGGATTTTACACTAAACACCTAAATATCAGAATATCATAAGAAAAAAACACATAGATCAGTCCTTAAAATATGTATAAATGACATATAGTTATGTCTAATTTCAAACTATAGCTACTACAAACAATTTGAAAAAACTACTGGTTTTTCTTAGTCTGGAATGATTTCTTAGCTAGATTATTTTTTCTAAGATTTTCATTATACTATTTATTTAAACTTATGTTTCTGAAAACAAAATGGGCATGGAAGCAATAATTATACACAAGAGTTGAACAAAGGAGAAGAGAAACATAAATGGCATAAATTTATGAAAAAAAAAAAGATAAATTGTTCAGTTAAGCAAAACAATTCTTAACAGCAATTGTGCATTTTGAGTAGTAAGTAAGTAAGTAGTTTTACTTGCAGAGTGTTGGTTTATAACTCTTTAAACTCTCTAAAAATTGACAATTGTTGTCATTGAAACAACAGTTTTACCTAATAACATGATCTCCAGTTTTTTCCGGTCCACTCGGAACCTCTCCTCGGTCCACTCGGGGTCCGGAGGTGCAGTGGGTCCGCTGGAGTCATCCTCAGACACGGGCAGAGGGGAATCGGCGCTGCGCTCGCTGTTGGAGCCCGGATCAGACTGCTGTAAGTATCCGCTTAAGGGTTCACACTATTGAACAAAGGAGAAGAGAAACATAAATGGCATAAATTTATGAAAAAAAAAAGATAAATTGTTCAGTTAAGCAAAACAATTCTTAACAGCAATTGTGCATTTTGAGTAGTAAGTAAGTAAGTAGTTTTACTTGCAGAGTGTTGGTTTATAACTCTTTAAACTCTCTAAAAATTGACAATTGTTGTCATTGAAACAACAGTTTTACCTAATAACATGATCTCCAGTTTTTTCCGGTCCACTCGGAACCTCTCCTCGGTCCACTCGGGGTCCGGAGGTGCAGTGGGTCCGCTGGAGTCATCCTCAGACACGGGCAGAGGGGAATCGGCGCTGCGCTCGCTGTTGGAGCCCGGATCAGACTGCTGTAAGTATCCGCTTAAGGGTTCACACTGAGCGGCCATGACTTTCATAGAGCACCGCTGACTCTCCGCAGCCTTCAGATCAGATCATTCCCGCGGAGAGTGAGCTCCATTCATCGCGGCCGCGGGCTCTGTGTGACTTACATTGACCGGAGGAGTATAAAGTGAGGGCAGGCAAAAGCAGAGCGCCGCCCTTTGTTCAATATGAGCCAGAGCAAGGGTGGATGGAAGGGGTCTGTCACAAAACTTAGTGAGCTGCTACTAGACAACATTTTTGGCCCGATAGGAGTCAGCTGAGCCGAATATGATTCCGCAAAATGCGGTCTAGTAAGCAGCTCACGTTTAGAGTTTAGAGACACAGCCAGTGTGTTTACAAATGTTTACTTTATTACTGCATGCTATGTTTAACAAAATATGTATAGATAGATAGATTTATTCATAACACCAGTTGCATTATGATTTGTTTTGCACTTCTCGGTCACCGTAGTGTTCAGCAGCAGCGTCTCAACTAATAGCGAAAGCAAGTTCATCATCATCAAGAACAGCGCCGTTATTAGTGAGAAATGTCACGAAGCTTTTAAGTTATGCTCAACTATTTTACTGATTGCGTTTCTGTGCGCGTGTATGTTTCCGTGTGTGGGTGTGTGTGTGTGTGTGTGTGTGTGTTTGCCATGGGTTTCCCTGAAAAGAATTGCACACCTTAGAACAGAGGTGTCAAACTCTATTCCTGGGGGGCCGGAGCCCTGCAGAGTTTTGCTCCAACACACATACAGTTTAATATTACGACAATTATGATGCCATATAAGACTACAATGTATACAAATAAATATATTTATATTTTTACAATAAAAATGCTATAAATTATTATTATATAAAGTATTAATTGTTTATTAATGTGATAAAATAACAGTGTATAAAACAATGCAATATAATATAAATACTGTAACACAATAAGTAATATAGTAGTAATAAAATAGTTTACAGTTTAATAGTAAGACAATTATGACAATATAAGACCATATGAGATAAATATAGACTAATAACATATTTTACAATATGCATTAAAATATATTATTCATTAATGTGATAAAATAACAACATTACAGAATAATATAATATCATATAATTTCTTCTGTGACTTGTGATTCTTTGGTAAATCCGGATCACGTGACCCACGATGCTTCTGCAAGGAGGATGTAGCTGTCGGCTGGACGAATTTAACAGATATGATTTAAGGTGTTCACACCAATTTCAAGTACGTACGGTCTTTAATTTCACTTGTATGTATTCAGTACAGCGGTATTTCCGTCATCATTCCACGCATTTCCAAATCCGCTGGTGCAAATGGCATAAACTGGTATTAAAGGCTTTGTTTTGATAGCTTAGGTTGCTAACAAAATGGAGGCGCGCGCTTCTTGAATTGCAATCTCTTGTGTTTGAATGAACGTTTGTTTTATATACCACCCATAACTCTCCGAGGCTCTTTTTACCATTGTATCACTCTGAGAAATCACGTTTGACGCCCACAACAAATGTCTATGAAGGCATCTCACTAGGGTTGTGGGTTTCAGTAAGTGTGTCTGGGTTTTAGCAGGATGTCTGAACACGGAGATGGAGATGGAGATGGAGATGCAGAAGCGAGTGTTTCTGCCACTTTCAGACCATCATATGCTCTGGGTCGAGGACTGCCAGGCCGAATATCACTGAATCCACCTCCACCAGGCAGACTGACTTCTCTGCGCTCCAGAGATCTGACTCTGGGTGGCTATAAAAAGGTTTCACCTTCTAATGTCAACGGTTCAATATCAAATGCTTTGTTTAAAACACAAAAATATGAATAAAGTCAGTGTTATATTCACAATACACATTGTTTTAAAGGGGTCATATGATGCTTTTTTTTTTAAGATCATTATTTTGTGTATTTGGTGTAACAGAATATGTTGACATGCTTTAATGTTCAAAAAACACATTATTTTTCAAATACTGTACATTATTGTAGGTCCTCTATGCCCCGCCTCTCTCAAACGCTTCATTTTCTACAAAGTCCCTCCTTCTGACAAGCGCAGTCTGCTCTGATTGGCCAGCTGACCCAGTGCATTGTGATTGGCCGAACACCGTAAGCGCTCGTCGCAAATGTAACGCCCTTTACCATAATCGCGAGCTTCATCTTTCAAAATAGCTACTGTCAGCATATACATTTTTGCCTAGCTACATACAATACACTCTCGTAAAGCAGCAATATTGTAATATTTAGCAAATCGCAACTGCTTCGTTGTTTATATTGTCACAAAATGTAAGCTTTTTTTTTTTTATCACACAACTCTATATATGAAGTTGGATATATTAGTATATCCAACTTTATTTGCAAACAGTATACTCGCATAACAATATATAAATTAAAGCAAATCTCAACTGCTTGATGTTTATATCAAATGTAAACTACATTACTGCTCATCAATCTGATCGGCAAAATGCGACTATAAGGCATGAAGATATGTGCATTGTGAAAAGTGCTATAGAAATAAATAAATTGGCACTGCTAACTCATGGCAGTACAATGAATATTAAATATCAAATCAAATTTCATCAAGTCACTTTTGTGTGCATGTTTTTGCTCTTGCAGGTAACTGGAGCGGCTCTACCCTGAGTGACTGTGATCCTACACTTGTCACAAAATGCATTAAAAAGGAAAAGAAAAATACTGAGGATGATGATGATGATGAAATTTTACAAAAACTCCAACGAGATGATGTAAGCCCCAATGAGCCTTTATCATTTGACATATTTCATGGAGTCTTGAAGGTTAATAATCAGTAGCATTTTAATATTTTTTCTGGTTTAATTGAGCAGTTTTTGGATGATCCTGGATTAAAAAATGATCCCAAGCAAAGACCAATCAGACTTCCATTCTATCAATCATGCAACTTTCTATCAACAGATGCAGCTAGTTCATGTAAGTTACCGTTTATGCTAACAATAATGTTATGTGGCTTGTTTTGATGCTAGTTTTTGTTCCGTTTACAGTAAACAAAGAACTAAATCCAAGATATTTTTGCAGTTAAAGAAGAGACGGCGTCTGATAAAGCACTGAAATCAGCCAGAGCTGAGCAGACATACCCTGTGCCAGGGAGGGGCACGCCTGCATGCCCGCAGCAGCCAACGCTTGGAGAACTGTTTCAACAGCTGACTGTTTCAGATAAGGAAGAACTACTGTTTATTCAACTTCCTGATACCATACCTGGTCAACCTAAAACCTCGAGCCCAGAGAAAACCAGAAAGGATGGCAAGACTGAAGACAAGCGCGCATCCCAAATTAAAGCTCTTGTAAGATTTCACACTGTGCTTTAATAAGGGGTAATATCATATGTTTACTGTATTGTGATACTTTTTACCCAAAGAGTGAAAGTTTAACTTTTCATTATAATTTTCCAAAAAAAAATTTTTTGACTGTTGGTAACACTTTATTTTAAGGTGTCTTTGTTACACATGTTACATGTACTTACTATTGTAATAACAATTAATTATGCATAATTACAAGCAAGTAACCCTAAGCCTAATCCTAACCCTAACCATAAACTGCAGTCCGTAAATTTTGCCTCTTTGTCGCCATCTCTGTTTGAAAACCTGCAATTGCAGCTGTTTGCGGAATTATCTTCCTTGCGTGGGTTGTGAGTCGGCACGGCTCCAGCGCGGATGAATCTAATGTTCTGAAGAGTACGTGTGGCAGTCAGTCACCGCACCGGTGTGGATATTTACTGTACTTCGCAATCACAGATTCTAGCCTACGTCTTGGAATATATGACCCAAATAAGAATTTTCACTGTATATTGCCATCTGAACAAGTAAGTAACAAGTCTGCCACGTTTGTTCTGACCAACTGAGGAAAAAAGCATTACAATAAATCACGTTACCAATGGTGATTTAATCTAAATGATCTTATTTCACAACAAACCGTGCAAAATTATTATTATTGTTATATTTTATTCTCAAATTGTTAATGTTAACAACATCAGCATTACGTGAGTGTGTATAAACCAGTAGATTTCAATTTCTGTACAGTCTAGTCTAATCTTTAATTGTCATACCACTCGAATTTCATATTAAGAAATTCTTTTAACCCAAAAAGCAAATTATGCTCCCTTCGAACTGGTTGTCTTTAAAATAAATCTTGTAATCTTCTGTAATCGGAAGCACATTTAAAACTGGAATATAATTTCATTTCATTCACATGTGTTTCATAAACACACAATCCTTTCTGGATTACAATCCGCCATCAAATTGATACATTTAATTATTCTAGCTACTGTGAGAAAAGGCTATAAACGATCCCCCACCTGCAGGATCCTCACATGTGATAGCCTAGTAGCCGGGACAACTTCTTTATGTTTACAGACGTGACGTAATGACGCAGTGCCATTCTCGAATTTCCCGCGAAAACCTACCCGTACCACTCAAATTAGAAAACATTATTATAAGATAACCGTTGTGAAACAGGCTAAAGTAAGGCGATAGTTTTGAACACTGGCTGGTTATGTACTTGCTCAAATATTGATTTCGGATCATTTTTAACCCAAAAAAGTTACAGACTGCAGCTTTAATTAATATTACTCAGTACTTAAATGTATAATTACACTGTAACAAGGACACCTTAAAATAAAATGTAACCACTGTTTTTTATGAAACGTTTTTTATTAATGTATGTTCGCACCGGAATGTTGATTTATGAGTTAAATTCCTCATTAAATGAGCATTTGAAGGCAAACCACATTCATTTGTAAACTTATAATATCATCTTCAGTGTCCTCTTAACGATTTTAATGCTGTTTTTATATCATTCTTCAGGATCAGCCTGATAAAGCCGCTGTACCGATGCTGTCTGACTTCTCAGAGGGCCTGATTGGAAAACTGCAAATCAGAAAGTCTGGTAAAGTCCAACTGGTCATGGGAAATGTTACATTAGATGTCTCAGAGGGAGCGGCCTTCTCTTTCCTACAGGTGAGTTAACACGTTGTCAATTTTAATGCAATGTAGCAAAATTAAAAATAACAGTATCAGTTGTGAAAACACATCAGAATAAAATCATATCTGTATGACCAGGTTATATTATTATTATTTTTTTAATTGTGGAAACAATGTAATATGCGAGAATATGTAAATAGTGTTATTCTTCTGTATTCAGCTTTCATCTAGTTTCTGCATGTTTATAACATACATTTTTTGACAGCTATTTTTTAAAAATATGATTTTTTTTTCTTCCTTTTTTCAACTTTTACATATAGTAAAATTGTGACAGCTGGGCCTGTCAATCTCCAAAATGCCATTAATACCATTAAAGTACTATTAACCATAAAGCACCATTAAAGTAATCATAAAATTTGTCATACAACTATTTAACACAGAAGTCATATAGACCACTTTTCTAATAAATGTTGTTGATTTTGAAGCCATTGATCAGTGTATAAAATGTATTTTGTGTTTCATGGGAGAAAGTAGGGTTTGGGCTTTATGGTAGCATTCAGGTGTTTATATTTTTGCACAGCTAATGTTGAAGTCGACTGGATCTGTTTAATTTATTAAAGCAATAGTTCCCCCAAAAATTACAATTGGTTGAAAATGTACTCACCCTCAGGCCATCCAAGCTTTAGATGAGTTTGTTTCTTCATCAGAACAGATTTGGAGAAATTTAACATTACATCACTTGCTCATCAATGGATCCTCTGCAGTGAATGGGTGCCGTCAGAATGAGAGTCCAAACAGCTGATAAAAACACCACAATAATCCACATGACTCCAGTCCATCAATTAACATCTTGTGAAGTGAAATAATTTGTAATAAATCCATCGAGTATTTTAACTTCAAACCGTTATTATGGATTATTGACTGGTATTTAAAGTTAAAACAACTTAATGATGGATTTGTTTCTTACAAACACAGCTTTTTACTTCACAAGATGTTAATTGATGGACTGGAGTCGCATTCATTTCTTTCCAAAGAAAAAAAGAATTGTACAGAACGTTTGAATGGTAGCATATAATTAAAGAACTGTTTTTAAACCAAATTAAAAATGAACAATTTTAACCACTATTTTCAAGCATTTGTTTCGTTCAAAGAAAGGGAAAGCTGTAAAGCCCTAACGTTAAGTCCTGTGATGCAATCCTGAGCATGGCTAACGAACATTTTCTTGTCAAATGTGAGGTGTAATTGGTAATATCGATGTCGTCACTAGTTTAACCCCTAATTGTGAGTGCTATTTATATGATTCAAGTAGTGTTTTTAAACTAGCTAGTATATGAGGTGCCTTAGAAGACTGCAGGCAACTCACTGGATGATGGAACAGAGCCATAGTTTGAGCTACTGATGCTCAAGGCAAAACTCACTTGTTTCTGTGTTGCACTGAAACGCTCCCAGTCGTCTCTCAGCGACTTCATCTTTGTCTGGAAGGAAAAAAAATGACATTCAACACACTTGTTGCAAACAATAGACATTGTATGAAATACCTAAAATGCATATTATGAAAATATTTTTCGGTTTTAATGGTATGTAATATCTTTGGTTAAACTGAGAACTTCAAATATATGAATACACCAGATGCAAAAATAAATAATTGAAATTATTTATACAAAATACACTACAGTTTAAAGTTTTAGGGTCAGTAAGATTTTTTTTTTTTTAAGAAATTAAGAGTTTTATTCAGCAATCATTTTTATTTTCGTAATATTTTATCAATTAAATGCAGCCTTGATGAGGATAAGATACTTATTTTCTTTTAAACTATATTAGAGCTACAGTGGGGAAAATATTTGATCCCCTGCTGATTTTGTAAGTTTGCCCACTTGCAAAGAAATTAAGGGTCTGTAATTTTTTATGGTGGGTTTAGTTTAATGAATAGAGACAGAATACCAACCAAAAAATCCAGAAAAAACACATTATATAAAGGTTAGAAATTGATTTGCATTTCAGTGAGTGAAATAAGTATTTGATCTCCAAGCAAAACATGACTTAGTACTTGGTGCAGAAACCCTTGTTGGCAAGCACAGAAGTAAGACGTTTTTTTGTATTTGGTCACCAGGTTTGCACACATCTTTTTGGCAACTCGAAGTTTCAGCTCCCGCCACAGATTTTCTATAGGATTGAGGTCTGAAGACTGGCTAGGCCACTCCGTGAACTTAATGTGCTTCTTCTTCTTGAGCCACTCCTTTGTTGTCTTGGCGGTATGTTTTGGGTCATTGTCATGCTTCAAGACCCATCCATGACCCATCTTCAGTGTTCTGGCTGAGGGAAGGAGGTTCTCGTCCAAGATTTTAAAAAACACATTATATAAAGGTTAGAAATTGATTTGCATTTCAGTGAGTGAAATAATTATTTGATCTCCAAGCAAAACATGACTTAGTACTTGGTGCAGAAACCCTTGTTGGCAAGCACAGAAGTAAGACGTTTTTTGTATTTGGTCACCAGGTTTGCACACATCTTTTTGGCAACTCGAAGTTTCAGCTCCCTCCACAGATTTTCTATAGGATTGAGGTCTGAAGACTGGCTAGGCCACTCCGTGAACTTAATGTGCTTCTTCCAAACTACTGGATGGAAACGCCAAGATGCGCATAAATTTAAAAAAATGCGCATGACCCATCCATGACCCATCTTCAGTGTTCTGGCTGAGGGAAGGAGGTTCACATTCAAGATTTTACAGTACATGGCCCCGTCCATTTGCCCCTCAATGTGACGAAGTCGTCCTGTACGCTTAGCAGAAAAACAGCCCCAAAGCATAATGTTTCCACCTCCGTGCTTGACTGGCTAGGCCACTCCGTGAACTTAATGTGCTTCTTCCAAACTACTGGATGGAAACGCCAAGATGCGCATAAATTTAAAAAAATGCGCATAAAAAACTTTTGAGTAGGATAAACTTTTTATACGATAAGAAAAGATGCGCGTAAACTACGATGGAAACACATTTACCAAATAAATTCCACCATGCACATTGAAAGTCGGGATATGAGACGGGATAAATTGATCATAAGCTATGTTTCCATCCACCTATTTTTATGCGCATTTTGGATTATCGCATAAAAAAAACTACTGGATGGAAACGCCAAGATGCGCATAAATTTTAAAAAATGCGCATAAAAAACTTTTGAGTAGGATAAACTTTTTATACGATAAGAAAAGATGCGCGTAAACTACGATGGAAACACATTTACCAAATAAATTCCACCATGCACATTGAAAGTCGGGATATGAGACGGGATAAATTGGCTAACCAGTGGACCGATCTCGTTCACAGCATCTATATGTTGTTTTGGTCGTTCTGAAATGCCTGAGGAAGGCATGTCATCAAAGTATTTCTGTATAATTACTGTCTTACATGACTGCGATGTTTCCATCCACCTATTTTTATGCACATTTTGGATTATCGCATAAAAAAAATACTGGATGGAAACGCCAAGATGCGCATAAATTTTAAAAAATGCGCATAAAAAACTTTTGAGTAGGATAAACTTTTTATACGATAAGAAAAGATGCGCATAAACTACGATGGAAACACATTTACCAAATAAATTCCACCATGCACATTGAAAGTCGGGATATGAGACGGGATAAATTGGCTAACCAGCAGACCGATCTCGTTCACAGCATCTATATGTTGTTTTGGTCGTTCTGAAATGCCTGAGGAAGGCATGTCATCAAAGTATTTCTGTATAATTACTGTCTTACATGACTGCGTTCTCAAACAGCAGGCATCCACCTCTAAAAGCAAAGACCGCATTTATTGTGTTACGTCTGCTCTCTCTGAAGCGCAAGTAATTTATTACATATGAAAATTATTATATTCAGTGGCTTCTCCTAGTTTTCTTAGAGATATTTAGTGCCAGTTTATCAGGAAGTGACGAATTTGTTCTCTTTGACTCGTTGGATGGAAACGGTGCTTTATTCGCAAATGTTTTATGCGATATTCCAGTTTAGCGCACAAGTTAAATTCACATCTTTGGATGGAAACATAGCTATAGTCAGCATTTCTCTCCCTCCAAACACGGCGAGTCGAGTTAATGCCAAAGAGCTCAATTTTGGTCTCATCTGACCACAGCACATTCTCCCAAGCCTTCTCTGAATCATTTTGATGTTCTTTGGCAAACTTTAAACAGGCCTGTATATGTGCTTTCTTGAGCAGTGGGACCTTGCGGGCGCTGCAGGATTTCAGTCCATTGCGGCGTAGTGTGTTACCAATGTTTTGCTTGGTGACTGTGGTCCCAACTGCCTTAAGATCATTAACAAGCTCCTCCCATGTAGTTCGGGGCTGATCCTTCACCTTTCTCATGATCATCCTTACCCCATGAGGCGAGATCTTGCACGGAGCACCAGGCCGAGGCCGATTGATGGTTGTTTTGTATTTCTTCCATTTCCGAATAATCGCACCAACAGTTGTCTCCTTCTCACCAAGCTTCTTGCTGATGGTCTTATAGCCCATTCAAGCCTTGTGCAGATCTACAATCTTGTTTCTGACATCCTTTGACAGCTCTTTGGTCTTGCTCTTGTGGTGGGAGAGGTTGGAATGGAAGATACAGATTGTGTGGACAGGTGTCTTATGCACCTAACGAGCTGACATTAGGAGTAACTTCTTAAAGTGACAAGACTAATCTGTGTTCCACATGGGCACATAACCATAATCTGTGGGAGCCAGAATTCTTGCTGGTTGGTAGGGGATCAAATACTTATTTCACTCACTGAAATGCAAATCAATTTCTAACCTTTATATAAATGTGTTTTTTCTGGATTTTTTGGTCCGTTAAAAAAACCCTGTCTCCATCCGTTAAAATAAACCTACCATAAAAATTACAGACCCTTCATTTCTTTGTAAGTGGGCAAACTTACAAAATCAGCAGGGGATCAAATAAATATTTTCCCCACTGTATATTTTAGATGCAGACATTTTTGCATACTGTATAAACTGTATATACTGCATGTAAGTCCATTTTCACCTGTATATTATTTCCTTTTGCTTCCTCAAAGTGCTCCGACATG